AGGATCTGATTGTATCAAATTTTACATTTAAATACAAGGTATTTCACCTCGAGAAGACACTACAGAAACTGCATTTTCAAAGAGACACATCCAGCAGTCTTGAAAATGGGTAGTCCGAGGGGATTCAGGACAGGTAAGCAGGCGTTGGGGGGCTGATAGTGGTGCAAAATGTGGGGTTTAAGTGGTCAAAAAGGATTCAAAAGCTCAAAGGAGCAAGATTAAAGGATGCAAATCACTTGGCTCCATTCCAAATGAGGGAGATGCTGGAGAGAGGTTTGTGAATTCAGGGAGGAGGGTCTGACTGACTCAATGAAGTCTAGGGGTAAATGGGAGATTCCTGTTACACTGGGTTGGTGTCTGCTTTGCAGGGCTCACATCCGTTCCCAGTCAGTGCTGGACTGACCTTGCACTGTCCTTAATAGAAGCTCCATCATGGCAAGAATTCTTGTGTTTTATTCACTGAAGAATCACCAGACATAAATAAGTGCCCACTTGTGGGATGTACACAAACACTTGCTGAGTAAATTCTACTGTCTTGTGCTCTTCATAGCCATGCTCCCAGAAAACACCTGAGTTCATTTGAAACATACTTTTTTGTTTGTTTCATAAACTCATTTAAGCTGTAAGCTCTCAATGCCCATCCTGGGAAATGGGGCAGGGGTTACAGATGTCAGTAAGATCAATTTCATTCCCACTTATGCTGCTTTTATCAGCTCAAACTTGAAGGCCTTACTTTGCTTCATCTGTAAAGAGTATGATAACAATGGTACTTTACCCCACATGTTTGTTGAGGACTAAATGAATCATGTTTATGAAATACTTAGATGTCTGACACGTGGAAAACATCTCCAAATGTTGCTATTATTTTTGTTATTGTTGCTGTATAACATTCTAATACTGTTATTGTATTTCACTGCATCATTAATTACTGCATTTACTCTGAGAATTATATTGAAGAACAGATGCTTAGCTGAGTTTAATTTCTCTTTGATTAAATATTAGGCCCTGGCTTATCCTCTGTTATTGCTTTTCAAACTTTTTGTTCTCAAACTCTTTAGATTCTTAAAAAATTGAGGGCTCCAAAGAGCTTTTGTTTTTGTAAGTTCTGTCTACAGTCATTTACCCATTAAAAATTAAAATTGAAAAATTAAAAAATATTTATTTATTCAAAATAAAATAATAAATGCATTACATGTTAACTAGATTTTCTTTTTAAAAAAGACTTTACTTATTTTTAGAGATAGGAAGGGAGGGAGAAAGAGAGGGAGAGAAACATCAATGTGTGGTGGGAACCTGACCTGCAACCCAGGCATGTGCCCTGACTAGGAATTGAACCAGCAACTCTTTAGTTCACAGGCTGGTGCTCAATCCACTGAGCCACACCAGCCAGGGCATGTTAATTATATTTTCCATACAGAAAAAATAGTGAGAAAAATGTCCACATTTTACATTATAGAAACTTTATCTGGCTTAATCATAGAAAGCAGAATTCTCTTCCACTTTTCCATTCACCTTTTGTAATACATTGTTGAAACTAGCCTTATGCAGATCATGTTGAAATCGCCTTACAAAGACATAGTTTTAGAAAAAAGAAGAGTATTCTAATAGACTTTGTGATGATAATTGTGAATAGCCTTTAAAACTAAAACAATCTCGGTAATTTCTTACAGATTAGTTGCTATTAGAAATTTGAAATATCAATGAACTTTTCATAATCTGTCACATTAAAATCCACTGTCTGCCTCGCACTTTGAGTGGATCTTTTATTCACACATGATTTTGTAACATCACACTGTTTTGTGGTTTTTGTTTTGTTTTTTTCTTTCAAAATACTGGTTTACTCAGTTATGTTTTTATGCTTTTCTAAATGCGTTCCACTGGACATTCCTCACAGAATGGATGTTAAAAAGCAAACATTTTAATATTAGGAAGATAATTTTTACCTTAGAAGCCCCTAAAAAGATTTTAGGAAATTCCAGGGGCCTTCAGAGGCCACTCAGAAAACTGCAGCCCTCGGTTATCCAAACTTTCACAGTAATGCCTCTCTCTGCCTCTCTCTGTCTCTCTCGGTTTCTCTGTCTCACTCATGTAAACTCTTTTCAAATAAAAGCAAAAAAAAAATCTATATTCTCCTACCATTGACACATCACTTCCCATAGTCAACTGTTTCCAAAGGTATAATAAAGGGAAAATAAATAACACAAATAAATGGGTAAATAAAATTGTTATTGCTCCTGGAAGGGAAACCATATAGTACTAAAAGCTAAGAGAACATTGTGAAGTAACCTGGGAAGAAAAGGATAGCTTCTAAAGTTAGTGTTGTTTAAACCGAGGGAAGACAGGCGGGTGGGTACTGAGTAGTTGTCGAATAGGACAGGACAGTGAGGGTGAACGTGTACCAACACCTGAAGCAGGCAGCTCACAACTTGTTCAGAGAATTGAAGGAGATCCAGTGCGGCCAGAACACAGACTGGAGAGCTAACCACGGCCTCTCCGCCATCGTTCTCACCCCCTCTCCGTGCCCAAGGCCCAATCTCCGTTGACGCCCCTTGACCAACAGCCCCCTCAGGCCAGGGTGGAAGTCCATCTATTGGAGTGACATTGGTTAATAAGATTATATAGGTTTCAAATGTACAATTGTATAACACATCATCTGTATATTGCATTGTGTGCCCGCCACCCAAAGTCAAATTTTCCTTCACCATATATTTGACCCCCTTTACACTTTACAACCCCCCACCCCTTTCCCTCTGGTACCACACTGTTGTCTGTGTCTATGAATTTTTGTTTGTTTTTCTTGATTGTTCATTTGTTGCTTTCAATTTTCTACCCCACATATGAAAGAAATCATATGGTTCTTAACTTTTCTGACTTATTTTGCTTAGCATGATCTTCTCAAGATTCATCAATATTGAGAGAGGCCCTTATAAATCCTTGCTACTCAAAGTCTGATTTGCAGAGAACAGTAATACCAGCACCAGAAGCTCATTAGAAAGGCAGGATCTCAAGCCCTACCCCAGACCTATTAAATCAGGATACGTATTTTAACAAGATCCCTGGGTGAGCTGTATATCTAGTAAAGTTCAAAGGGCAAAGAACCCAATGAAGAGGCTCGAGCTGCTTTTTGCCGGGCCTCCTGCACTGCCAGGCCACATTGCTGTTTCTAGGCTGCCTAGGCCAGGGTCGGTGAGGATGTGGGATCTGCCCTCCCTGCACTGAGGAGGCGTGGAAGGGTTCCAAGCAGTCCAGTTACATAATCTGAATTATTTTTTTCAATTACAGCAAACCCCATCCCTTGAGCATCATAGTGCAACAAGCTTGGTGATTTATAGTTAGGTTCTCAGTGAATCCTCACTGTAGCCTTGTGAGGTAGAGTTTATCATTATTTTCCAGCTGAGATAATAGGCTTCGGGAGGCGAAGTCACTTTTTCTTTAAATTCCCAGAGGTACTATGTGAGTGACCTGGGATTCAAACCCCAATGGCCTTGAATACATTGCACCCCCCAAAATGAATGAGATCATCACTCTCTACCCCCCTATTCTATTTCACAGACCTACCAATGCAGTTCTCTGGTATCCAGATGAACAGGAGAGCCCCTGGGACTCCCCAGACCTGCTCATTTTTCTACACCAGTGGTCACAGCTCTGACAAGATACAACAAGACCAAGTGGATTACAGTGAGTGCAACAACCCCCTATCTCCACTCCAGTTTCACTCCCACCTCCTGGGGGCACACAGTCCTTGAAGGGGGGGACAGTGCCAACAGTCAAATGAATTCCAAGTGCCTCTGTGGCAGGCTGAATCCCATTTTCCATGATGGATTAACTGGTAACAAGATTGGGTGACTTAGTCAGTCTGGGATCCTCTAAGAAGCAGATATCAAGACCAGATTAAACAAACCTGCAAAAATTTTATTGGAGGAAATGCCTATACAGAAAATGGGGCAGAAGTCAGGGGAGGCTGGAAGAGCTATTGGACCACAACACAAACCTGACCCCTAGTGAAGGTGAAGGAATGGTCGGGTAGAAGCATCCGAGACCATCCACCATGCAGTCCCAATTGGGCAATGTGGTTGGTGAGATGTAAATGAGCTTTATGGACTGTGCCAGTGCCATTTATCTGGTTCTGATAGTGCACTACAGTTATGCCAGATGTCACCATTGGGATGGGGAAGAATGAAGGGTGCATAGGACCTCCCTGTACGCTCTTGGGTTTTGGTGGGGTTTTTTTTTTTCAACTTCTGTGAATCTAAATATTTCAAAACTAAAAGTAAGAAAGAAAAACCAAACACTATAAAATGTGATAATTCTTGCTTTCGGCATTCACATATATTTCAGATAACTTCAAAGAGAAAATTAGTCTATTACATAGCACCAGATATTTAGATATTTGCCCTTTCTCGTGGGTCTTCCTTCATTCCTGAAGTTGCAGCTTCCCCTCCAGCACCGTGTCCCTTCAGCCTGGAGAAACTCCTTTAACTTTTCCATGGAAGAGGACTCCTGGTCACAGACCCCGTAGTTTCCCTTGTCTGAGAGAGTCATCACTTCATCTTCATTCCTGAAGGGTACTTTCCCCGGATACGGAATTCTGAGTCGACAGCACTTTACTTTCAGCACTTTAAAAATGTTGTTCCAGCACCCGTCTTGGTTTCTGATGAGAAAAATCTATGGTCATCTTATCTAGTCTAATTCATGTATATTTTTTCATGTATAAATTGTGTTTCAACCAGCTCATTAAAGAAAATATTTCCTTACTCTGAGCGACAGAGATATTGACACAGAATTTTTAAAATATTTTCAAATTTTCATTTTTGACGAATACATGTGCAGTACTTTTTTAATGGTATAAATGCAAATTATTTTCCCAGAGAGCTAGAGACTCTGGAGGTTAAATTCATTTGTGTTGCAATGAGCCTTGCCGGGCCCTCAGAAAACATTGCTTTCCAGCGAATAAATGATTTCAACAGAGTCCCCTTTCTCGTCTAGGCTTTTCACCCTACATGTCAGTGCCTCTGATGAACAGAATGGCCCCAGCGAATCCCCCGTCACACCTTTATAATTATAAGCACGTGGATGATTCCAGGATGAATGTGAGACCACAGAGTGCGGCTGGTCCCAGTGAGTATAACTCCTTTACCCTCCCCTCCTCACAGGGGGCCCTATAATTGGATATATTGCATCAGTCTTAAAATAGCTAGTGATTTTTACACCTTCTTTTCAAAAATTGACTCAAAACCATTTTCATCATAAAAGGGGATGTCATAAATTTCATATCAAGGTCAAGTACCTTTGGCCCATGCTTTACCAAATTATGAGAGGTAAGAACACAAAATATAGAGCACGGAAGGATATTTCCCCAGGAGAGGACTGAAGCATAGAGAGACAGAGATATAGAAAGCCCCTTATCCAAGGTAGGATACAATTCTAACACCAACTCCGATGTGTGGATTTTCCCCCCACACCAAATAGTTCTCTTGACACCAGCTAGATATCTACAATTCAACCCAATTCTGATGATATCAACCCAGAGATAGAGTCAGTGACCACAGGTTGAGGGCTCAGACCCAGAAAACTGCCCTCACTCAGCTGCCAATCACAAGTCCAGGTATCACCTGTGCTTCTGACCATCCGAATCAGATTCCCATGCCGCTCTCTTTGGGTTCAATTAATTTTCTAGAGCAGCTCACAGGACTCAGAAAATCTGTTTACTCACTAGATTACTGACTTATTACAAAGGATATTAAAGACTAAAAATCAGTCACTGGACAAAGAAGATACAGAGGACGGGGTCCCAAACAAAGGCGCTCCTGTGCACACGGGCTTTGGGCCCAGTTTGGTAGCCTGTGGGTTCATTCTGGTTTACTAGCCTGGAAGCTCTCTGAACCCTGTCCTTTGGGGATTTTGTGGAGGTTTCATTACAAAGGCACAATTGATTAACTCATTGCCCCTTGGTGACTGATTCAACCCACAGCCCCTCTCACCTCCCCAGAAATCTGGGGCTGGGCTGGAAGTGCCTACCCTCTTCTTAGGGTTGGTTTCTCTGGCACTCCAGTCTCTAGGGGATTCCCAAAAGTTGGCTCATTAACAAACTCGATTGTGGTTGCAAGGGGTATGATATGAGTATCAAGATACCAATTTCACCTTTATGTTTCTGAAAAAAATTCAGGAACTTAAAACAAAAGAACAAAAATCACACCAAAAATGCTCCCATTGGTCTTTTTAAACAATTTTTTATTGATTGATTTTTAGATTGAGAGAAGAAAGGAGAAGGAAGGAAACATTGATTTGTGGTTCCACTTATTTACACATTCATTGATTGATTCTTATGTGCCCTGACCGGGGACTGAACCCACAACCATAGTATATGCAAACGATACTCCAACCCAGCAGGCCCCAACCTTTTGGGCACCAGGGACCAGTTTCATGGAAGATGAGGTGGGGGGCATAGGAAACTGAGTTCAAGTGAACTTCACTCACTCCTGGGGGTTGGGGACCCCTGCTTTAACCAGCCGAGCTATCTGACTAGGACTTATCGCTTTTACCTTATTTCCTCTCAGAAGCAATCACTAAATTAGGTTTGATATATTTTTTGTACTCTGCTCTTTGTATGTTATACACTAAATTATAATTTTTTTAATTTTCTAAAGATTCTATTTATTTATTTTTAGAGAGAGAGGAAGGGAAGAAGAAAGAAGGAGCAAAACATCAGTGTGGTTGCCTCTTCGTGCGCCCCCTACTGGGCACAACCTAGGCATGTGCCCTGACTGGGAATCAAACCAGCAGTCCTTTGGTTCTCAGGCCAGCACTCAGTCCACTGAGCCACACCAGTCAGGGCTAAATATAGCTTATAACTTTAAATAAAGACTTCACTTCAGCAAAAAATATTCTAAAATAAAATTAGTAAAATCAAGTCCTGGCTGGTGTAGCTCAGTGGATTGAGCATGGGCCTGCGAACCAGACAATCGCAGTTCGATTCCCGGTCAGGGCACATTCCTGGGTTGCAGGCCAGTTCCCTGCAGGCCAATTCCCAGCAGGGGATGCACGAAAGGCAACCATACATTGATGTTTCTCTCCCTCTCTCCTTCCCTTTCCCTCTAAAAGATAAATAAATAAAATCTTTAAAAATAATAATAAATTTCTCTGTCATTCAGACCAAAGTTATTTAAAAAAATTAGTAAAATCAAATATTTACATTTTACACATGATATGCCACACATTGTCCTAATCTTTTGTGTGTATTAATGCCTGGCAATGATACATTCATGCAGTACATTTACAAACCCCGTTACAAAGTAGATACTCTTAGCATTCATTTTCAGTGCTTCATGAAACTAAGGTGAATAGTTTAAGGAAGCTGCTCATGATCATATTCCTAGACAAGTATACTTACTAAGCAAAATTCTACTATTGAACCTAAATGATTCAGAGATTACCAATCTCTCTATACCCCACTTTTTCAGCCACTCACTGGAGTGAACGTAATTCTTCCTCATAACGCTTCTGTCTCAGGGTGGATCTGTCTCCTTTTGGACAAAATAATTGCTAGAAGATTACCTTTTATTTATTTTTAATATTTTAGTATATAGAAATTGCTGATATAAACAAAAACAGAGGGTAGTATAATGAATTCCCATGAGTCTATCATTTAATCTTAGCAAACATATATCTCACTTAGTATAACATTCATTCATGTTTTAAAATGTATCAGTAACCCATTCCTTTGGTTGCTGAAAGATATTCCATTGTGTGGATCTACTACATTTAAACATCCATTTAACAAGGAGGTCTGGATTGCTACCAGTTTAGGGATGTCATGAACAATGTTGCTACGAATAGTTATGTCCTTGTATGAATAAATGTTCCCACCTCTCCTGGGTGAATTCCTAGGAGTGGAGTGGCGTCACTGAGTTATATGATAAGTTTATGTTAACCTTTTTTTTTTTTTAAGATTTTATTTATTTATTTTTAGAGAGAAAGGGAAGGAGAGAAGGAGAGAAACATCAATGTGTGGTTGCCTCTCGTGAGTCCCCTGCTGGGAACCAGCCTGTAACCCAGGCATGTGCCCTGACTGGGAATCGAACCGTGATCGTGTGGTTCGCAGGCCCATGCTCAATCCACTGAGCTACACCAGCCAGGGCTATATTAACATTTTAAGAAACTGCCAAACTGTTTTCCAAAGTTGCTGCACCATTTTATAGTTCCCACGGTTGCCGTGTGAGTTGCGGTTTTTACATATTCCTCCACATGCCCATTTATATGACTTCTTTGATGAAATGCCACTCAAATGTTTTCACTAATATTAAAAGGTTTTTAATTGGAATTTCCATCTCCTCATCTTTGAGATGTAGAGTTTGTCCCGTACTCCAGTTATAAGTCCTTTACCAGATACCTAAAGGACGTCCTTTTACTCCTCCTGCCTAAAGGACGTCCTTGAACCTCTCCCAAGGTGCAGGTCTGCCGGGGAGGGATTCTTTCGATGATGTGTTTGAAACCATCTCTTCTTGGCTGCTTTTCTCAGCATGGTCTGCTGAACTTTCCAGTGTGTATCTGTTAATGTCTTAGGGATTCTCCTCTTCTCAAACCCTGATGGTTTCCTGTTATCTTTCTTCTGCATCTGTGTGTGCAGATAAATGGGAAGTCACAACCAATCAACAGCTTGAGAACCAGTTGAAAAACACAAGAAAGGAGTTGTCAGGAATCTAGTTATTATACCAATATCTGAGCATGAAGCTTAGATGCAAAAACTTGTTAGTGTTACTAAAAGAGATCCTATTTGCCTTTTTTAATTAGATTTTATTCATTTATTTATTTTTAGGGAAATTGGGAAGGGAGGAACAAAAAGGAGAGAAACATCAAAGTGAGAGAGAAACATTGATCAGTTGCCTCCCTGAAGCACAGACGGGGACTGGACCTTCAACCCAGGCACGTGCCCCGACTCGGAGTCAAACAGGCAACCCTTCTCTTTGTGGGACGAAACCCAGCCAACTGAGTCAAACAGGTCAGGGGAATATTTCTTTTTTTTTCTTAAGAGATAATATTTCAATAAACAGACTCAAGCTGATGTGATTCAAGAGTATGTAAAAAGCTAAAAATATACACCAAGATCAATCTTGTCCTTTTATCACCGATAAGCCTTTTGTTTAATTTACCTGTACATGCTGTGTTTAGGCATTCACAAATAGAGGATAAATTTAAAGCCTTTCATTTCTAATGCGTAATCAGACAATGATATAATATAGAATTTAGCATTTTAAACTAACATTTTTTGCTAAACAGACAACAAATGGTCTGGTAAGACAGTTCACACTATTTTATTCATATTTAGACTCTGAAATCCAGTGAGAACTTTACACCTCACAGAGTATCTTGGTCTATACGCTAAATTATCACCAGAGATGCTAAATCTGCGTCTAGAGTTTATAAAATTCACATTTGAAAGAGTATATTCACACAACTCAAGTTGTCCTAGCATACTAAAAAGCTTCCTAATAACTGGATGGAGTTATCAGTTTAAAACTTTCAATTAGTTAAATTTTAATGACATTCAAATTTAGTGGCTACTGTATTTTACTAAACAAATCTGGAGAGTAACTAGGTAGCTGGGACACAAAGATGGTTTCCACTTTGTACTATTTTCATACGCGACTTACTTAAGTAAATAAATAAACCACTTTCTTGTTTTAAATCTACAGTGACGAGTATGTAGAGACCACAAATGCACTCCTACAGGATGGGTGTTGGGACAAAGCTGCTATCTTAATGTTAGGTTTCTTGTAAATTAAAACAAAATTCCCAGTAATAGTATTCCAGAAACGTATTCAAAAAGTGCTATATCACAAACAACTTATTTGAAAGGAAAGATTAGGTACCAGTCAAAACTATACCATTTAAAGAAAAGAATAGGCTCAGACTGGTGATATGACCGTGTGAGCTAAATGCAAACCATTTGAAAAGGATAATTTTATAAAATGTAAATAGATCATTAATATGCATAAATTAACATCTTTGATTTCAAATACATATATATGGATTCCAAAAATAAATTACATACTATCCACTTAGAAAGATGTATGTTTAATATGTGATTCTGTTCAATGTATTTTATATATGTCATTTTTATATACAGGGTGGGACAAAAGTAGATTTACACTCGTGAGTATGCAAAACGTGCTTTATTCTTGTATTATTACTTATTAATTATTGTATGTGTTATTTTCCACACAAACAACTGTAAACTTACATTTGCCCCACCCTGTATGTTCATAAGTGGCGTTAGTCTATGGTTTGTTGACAGTGTTCATCCGGGCCAGGTTTTAGTGTTTGGTGTCACAGACCTAAAACGTAAGAAGCGAGGCCAAAGCGAGGACCCTTTGTCTTCTCACTGAGATGGACACATCGCAGAGCGTGGCCTTGAATTCTATGCCTTAGCCCATGTGTGCGCGTGGCTATCAGTGTGTTCAAGGTCTGCAGTTGCAGTTCCTTGTAAGCAAATTTTGGTAATTGTATCTCCTTAGGAAATTTATAAAAATGTCCTTTTTCTCACATTGCCATTTAAAAATATTCTATAATTTTTTAATCACCTCTACATATTTAGTTATACTTCATTTCTTATGAAACTTTTCACAGAGGAGTGAATAGAGAGCTTCAGAAATCCTGGAAAGGAAAAAAGAAAACACTTGTGATAGACTGGGTTCCTAAATAAACAAGTAAAGGGAGGAAAGCCATTCTGAAGAGTTTGTTATATTTAGTTGCAAGGACATGAGGTTTCTTCCCAGTTTCTCAAAGAGACAAAGTGTGAGAGAGAGAAAGGGGGAAGCCACTGTCCACTGTCTGAGGTTAAGGTAGACAGATGGAGTATATATGAAAAAGGATTTTCTGTTTTTAATGCAAGGTAAACTGAAACTCAAAGGAGCCAGTTTCCAGAGCAAACAGACTGGGTACAGAGAGAACAAAGAGGTAACATTTCCCAGCAGAGACAAACTAAATCTCCAAAAACAGGACAGCACTGTTACTTATAGGGCTCAGCCTCTCGGAGTCAAGGCCTGGGATCTCCATCTCTTGGGTTCCAACCCTGGTTGGAGGAAAATCATGGGAGACTCATGGCTATGGTTTTGGGGAGGTAGTGTCAGTGTAACCAACCCCTCTCCATCTCTGCTCTCTAGCAACGTGGAAGAAGCACCAAAAACGTACCTCATTTATGCAGATGCAGCATGAACAGTTGGAGGCTCTGTTTAGCTACACCATGTTTCCAGATAAAAATCTCCAGAAGGAACTCGCTTTGAAACTCAACCTACCAGAAACCACGATAAAGGTGTGTCTGACCCCCTGAGGTATGCCTGGTACCCCTGCCTAAACCACATTTTACTATTCAGCCTGGAAATTTTGTCCATAAGACAATAATAACATTTCATTTATTGAGTACCTACTGTGTGCCAGTACTGAACTAGGCACATTGCATATGTTGGCCTCACTATCATCAAGTTTAAAAGAGGAGGGAAGCTACAGTCCAGGGGCAAAGTGACTGGATCACAGAGTTCATAGGTAGTGGGACTGGCATCAGAATTCCAGAGGTCTTGTGCTATGGAGCTCAAACTCAGGAGGACTCTCGTCAGGACAGACTCCTCTCTTAAGGTCTTCTCAAGCAAAACCCTGCAAACAACAGCTCCCAACCTCTACATCTGCTAAGAACCCCACCCCCCAATTTTTTTGGAGTATTCTTTACTGTAGAGGCCTTCTTTTTTTTTTTTTTTAAAGATTTTATTTATTTATTTTTAGAGAGAAGGGAAGGGGTGGGGGCAGAAACATCGATGTGTGAGAGGTACATCCATTGGTTGATTCTCATATGCCCCCTACTGGGGACCTGGCCTGCAAGCCAGGCATGTTCCCTGACTGGGAATCAAACCAGTGGCATTTCAGTTCTTAGGCTGGCACTCAATCCATTGAGCCACACCAGCCAGGGCAAGGCCTTCTAACTAATCATTTAAAATCCTTTATTTCATATTCTGTACCTCCTCCTAGATCCCTGAACTAGCTTCTCTTCTCCAGAGTTCAGGACCCTTTCTCTGAACCCCCAACACAACCTCTGAGCACACACCCCCTTCTTTGCTCTTTCCTTCTCTGGGGTCCCAGTTCTGATCCCTCCCTGTCCCGCTATTAACTCCGCTCATGCCCATCTCTGCTCTCCCAGAACTGTGTCATGGTGATTTGGAGAGGACATGGGGGTTATAATCTGGCTTTTGTAACAAGGGGAAGCTTCAAACAGACTGTAATGTCCCCTCTTTCCCAACTCCCAGACTTGGTTCAGGAACCGAAGAGTCAAACTGAGGAAGCAGCAGCAACAGCTCTCACCAAAGCAACCAAATCAGATTCTTCCAGCCAAGATCATGCCCGCCTCACCCACAACATCAACCAATCCTTACTCTTTTTACCCTGCAGTTTCAGGTTTCTGTAACTCCCTTCAGCTTCAGCCTGTGGGCCCTTACACTTTGGCATGGAATTCTGTCATCACTGAGAGTCCCACAGGTGGGGACCAAATGCAAGATCCTCAGCTGGAGAGGCTGGCGGCCTCAGTTCCTGCTTTGTACTCTGATGCCTATGACATAGAGCAGATCATGGAAATATACAGTTTTCCCGATGAGGAGGAAACGCCCGGCACTTCTTTCCAATGTCTGTATCAGTATCTCTCCCCCACAGACTCCAGCTAGAAGAAAGGGGTTCTTCTCTTAGAGTCTTGGCTGATGCAGCTTTAGGTCTGTCCCCTGGGCAAACCTCAACCAGTATGACAAGCTGAGTCCTTTTAGCCTACAGCCTAAGAGACAGCCTAGAATTCCAGAGTCCCTTCAGCATGGAGAACTTTGAATTTCTTTTATCAAAATTTTAATAAAGACCAGATTGCATAGAGGTATCTCCTTGTGTCTTTTATATGCCTCTCTTCTTTCCTTGGTGCGCTTCTTAACCCGGGTATCTGGGTTGGGGCTGCTTTGATTTCCACAGAAATGTTGTAAAAACTAGAGATTTTTTCCAAGGATAGCTCAGCACTACACTATCGACCCCACCACTCTGCCTGGGAAAAGGCCTTCCTAGTGCCCGAGATGGCCAGTTATACCCCCAAAGTTCCTCTTCCCAAAACTATCATGGACTTTTTAAAAGAGGATCAGCAGCCTTTAATGGCTAGGTTATAAACTCATATTTTATTTCTAATCTTTATGTCTGGGGGTCTTCTAAAGGGTGGGTTTAGTCAAAAGTTAAGGGGAAATCACCATCACCATTAGTTTTAATACAGTATGAGTCCACACATAGTAAGAAATGTAAGGAAAAATAAGTATCTTTCCATTAAAAATATAGAGCATCTAAGAATTAACTAAGACAAGATCTCTGTGGAGAAAACTTCAAAACTTGAATAAAGGACATACTAATGTTTTAGAAAAAAGGCATTTGAGGCTATAGAGTAATGAATTTATTTATTTTTTTTTAATAAATTTTATTTATATTTAGAAGGGAAGGACAGAGGGAGAGAAATAGCAATGTGTGGTTGCTTCTTGTGCATCCCCTGCTGGGAACTGGCCCCTGCTGGGAACTGGCCTGCAACCCAGGCATGTGCCCTGACGGGGAATCGAACCACGATCTTTTTTTGGTTCCCAGGCCCGTGCTCAATCTACTGAGCTACACCAGCCAGGGCAGAATAATGAATTTAAAAGGACTGAAATTATAGAAAGTATGTCCTCCAAACACAATGAAGTGAAATTAGCAATCCATATCTCAAGAAAATTCACGAAATTTAGAAATACGTAGATAAAACAAACAACAGTCCTAAATAGCCAATGGCTAAAGAAGAAACCAGGAAGGTTAGGGAATATTCAGGTATGAATGAAAACAAAAATACAACATACCAAAACTTTTGGAATTAAGCTAAATCAGTGCTTAGAAGGAAATTTGTAGCTGTAAAAGCCTATGTTTCAAAAATAAGGTCTCAAATCATAATCTTTAAACAAAAGAAATTGGCATAATTGTATTCATATTTGTCAAGTTAAACTTTAAGGCAAGAGACTCTTGGAAGTAAAAGTATATTATTAGGCAAGAGCAAAGGAAACAACCTGAAAGATATTATAATTCTGAATCTCTATACATTTAACAGCGTATTCCCAAAGTATATAAAGTAAAAATTAACAAAGTCCTTGGGAAAACTTAAATACAAAATCATAATGGAAAATTTCAATCTAACAACAATTGACAGGTCGAATGCATAAAAACTTAGTATAAGTTGGGAAGATTTTAACTACACAGTAAGCTTGGTCTGATGGAAGTATGTAGATTTCTGCTTCCAGCTGGTAGGTAATAGACATTCTTTTCAAGCATATAATTTCCACATACTAGACCACAAAACAAATCATAACAAACTCAAATAATTCAATAATATACTAAAAGCATTTTGTGCCCATAAGGACATTTAGCTACAAGAAACTAAATTTTCCCTCCACTGAGAATTTTAAAAGTATATTTCTAAATAATCAATCCTAGAAGAAATCATAGTACAAATTCATAATAATAACTGAATCCGCATTTGCTGACAGTAGCAGTTTACTAACAGAGGTAATAGTAGCTGTTTTGCAGTTTTCTGCAGTCTATCAAATTGTGGCTCATCACAGAAGTATCCTGCAGTGCAAGACCACAGACCTAGGAGGCAGACATTGGACCTCAGGCTGCGAGGTTATAGTTTACTGGGGTTTTTTTTTTCACTTTTGATATTTTAATGAGTCTCTCTCTTTTTTTTTTTTTTTAGAGTAGTTTCAGGTTCCTAGCAAAATTGAGCACAAGGTACAAAAATTCTCATATACCCACATGCATGTAACCTCCCCCACTAGCACAACCCACCTAGAGTGGCACATTTGTTACACCTGAGCCTACATGGGTACGTCACTCTACTTAAGTGGCTGTAGTTTACATTTAGGTTCACTCTTGATGTTGTACATTATGTGAATTTTCATAAATGTACAATGATATATATCCACCAGTATAGTACCATACAGTATAGTTTCACTGCCCTGAAATTTACCCCTCTCTATACCTTAACCCACAGGTGGCAAACCCAAGGCCCAGAGGCTGAATCTGGCCCTCCACCTTGTTTTATCCGACCCGGCACCTTGTTTCTACCTAGCGGCAGTGCTGAGCTCTTGCTCAAGGAATAGTTCCATTTACGCAATCCTAAAATTACATTTGGCCCTTTGAAGGCAATTGTGAGGTTAATGTGGCCCCCAATGAAAGTGAGTTTGACACCACTGTCCTAACCCCTGGCAGCCACTGATCCTTTTACTGTGTTTATAGTTTTGCCTTCAAATCAATAACCTTTCACCTTCAAATCAGTAACTTTTCACCTTAAGAAAATAGAAAAAGAACAAACTAAGTAAAAAGCAAAGAGAATGAAGGAAATAAAGACTAGAGCAGAAACAAGTGAAACAGAGAATAGGAAAACAATAGAGAACATCAATGAAACCAAAAGCTAGTTCTTTGAAAAGATCAATAAATGACCAGCCTCAACAACAACAACAAAGACTCAAATTACTAAAATCAGAAATGAAAGATGCAACAAAACTATAAATCTTACAGAAATAAAAAAGCATTACAAAGGAACACTGAACAATTGCAAAACTTTTATAAGTTTTATAACATTAGATAACTTAGATGAAATTGACAAAATCCTGGGAAAACTCAAAATACCAATTCTTACTCAACAAGAAATGGAAATACGGTGAATAGAGCTTTAACAAATAAAGAGATTGACCTAGTAAACAAAAACAAAAATCTCTCCACAAAGAAAAGCCCAGGCCCAGATGGCTTTACTGCTCAATTTTACCAAACATTTAAAGAATTAAGGATTGAGCGCGGGCCTGCAAACCAGAGTATCGTGGTTCGATTCCCAGTCAGGGCACATGCCTGGGTTGCAGGCCAGTTCCAAGTAGGGGACACAGGAGAGGCAACCATACATTGATATTTCTCTCCCTATCTCCTTCCCTTCCCCTCTAAAGACAAATAAGTAAAATATTTAAAACAAAAAAAGAATTAACACTAATTGTTCACAAACTCTTTAAAAAATAGAAGAGGACATTTCCTGAGTCATTCTATGAGACCAGTATCACCCTAGTACCAAAACTGAACAAAGGCATCAAGAAAATTATAGACTAATACTTCTTATGAATAAAGATGCAAAAATCCTCAACATGATGCTAGAATACTGAATCCAGCAACATGTACAAGGGACTAAGTGCCAGGCCGAGTGGAATTTATCCAGGAATGGAAGGCTGGTTCAGTACACAAAATCTATCAATAATGCACTATATTAATGCAGTAAAGGACAAAAACTATGTGATCATTTCAATAGGCACAGAAAAAGCTTTCAACGAAACTCCACAGCCTTTCATAACAAAGGCACTCAAGGTAGGATAAACTATCAAATTCCTTCAACTTGATAAAAGCTATCTACAAAACATCCACAGGTAACAGCACACTTAATGACAAAAACGAAGTACCTTTCCCCTAAGATCAGGAATACAAGTTAGGGACGGCCGTGCTCACCACTCTTGTCCAACACAGTGCTCGGAGTTCTTGCAATAAGGGAAATAAAGCAAGAGAATAAAGTAAAAGACACCCAAATTAAAAATAAAGAAGTAAAAATACCTCCTCACAGATGGCATGATTTTGTATATAGAAAATCATAAGGAATGCATAAGAAAACCACTAGAACTAATAAACAAGTACAGCAAAATTTCAAGATATAGGATCCATACACAAAATTTTTTGTAATTTCCAACTGTTTGCTGCTCACCCCCCAAAAGTTTTCCTATAGGGACATACAGAGGTGGGCAAAAGGAAGTTTACGGTTGCGAGTATGTAAAAGTTTATTTTTGTATTATTATTTATTAGTTACCGTATTATTTATTTGTATTACAACTGTAAACCTCCTTTTGCCTGCCTCTGAATAGGCACAAAAAAATACAGGGAGAGAAATTCAGTGTCTGTTAATTAGAGCAGAATTTATCACATCTATTTTCAGTCCATACATTCAAAGAATAGCATTGTTGAACACTGGTATATGCTAGACATCATTTATGTGCTTCACATATATGAATGTATTAATGTGTTAGCTCATCAACACATGGTCACACTAAATATTATCAACCTCATTTCACAATTGGGAAAACTGAGGTAGAAAGTGGTTAAGCAACTTGGTCAAAGTCACATGTGTAAGGTCTGTCTGGAAAAAGTCCAGCCATTGTTAATATAATGAGAACAGTTTGCATGACGTCAATGAAACCTGGCAGTCAAGAAGAATGTACTGGAATGTGCGTGCACAAACAATGACAACGTCACTGTACTAGTTAGTGGGGGTGGTAGACACCATTAGTGAGCATGTGTACTGTGTGGCCTTTGCATTCAACATGACTGAGCGAGTAGAGCAACGAAACTGCATCAGATTTGGTGTTAAGCTTGAACATTCCTCTATGGAAACTAACTATTCAGATGATTCAGAAGGCTGCAGCTATGGGCAACTGGCAATAGGCAGCTTTATCACAACAATGTGCCCACTCATGCATCAATGTCTCATAGCAGAGGTTTTTGGCAAAACATCAAACCAGCCAGGTGACTCAGCCCCACTACAGCCCAGATTTGGCTACCTATGACTTCTGGCTTTTCCCAAAACTAAAATCACCTTTGAAAGGGAAAAGATTTCAGACTGTTGATGAGATTCAGGAAAATACAACAGGGTAGCTACTGATGGCAATTGGGAGAACTTCGTGAGGTCCCAAGGTGCCTGCTTTGAAGGGGACTGAGGCATCATTGTCCTGTGTGCAATGTTTCTTGTATCTCGTATCTTCCTCTATAAATGTCCCTATATTTCATATTACCTGGCTGGATAATTTCTGGACAGACCTCATCGTACACTCTCCATACTTATGATAAAGTTTTATTTATAAATTAGGCACAATAAGAGATGAACAACAACAGCTACTATTAAAATAGAACAATTATGTGAATGTGGTCTCTCTCAAAATATTGTGCTGTACTCGCTTTTTTCACTTAAAGGAAGCACTTTATGGCTTCTCTTCAGCATATCCTCACACTGTGGAACCATGGTTAAGTTTAGGACGACGTGAGCACAAGCACTGTGATACTGTGACAGGCATCTGATAACCAAGGCAGCTACCACGTGGTTAACAGGCAGGCAGGACGTGCGGCCTCCAGGCCCTGGTCGAAGGGTAAATTTGCATCCCAGGTTGGATGGAGCTGGACAGCACAGGATTTCAACATGCTACTCAGAACAGCAACAATTTAAAATTTAAAATGTATGAACTGTTTATTTCTGGAATTTTTTATTTAACGTTGCAGAGCACAGTTGACTTCAGGTAACTGAAACCACAGAGAGAAACCACGGATGACGGTGTCAACTGCACCTAGAAATTAGCCAAGCCAGGATGATGTATTTTCTTTCCTCAGAAGATAGCCGAATCTGTCTATGGCCATCCCACCCCGAATGCACCTGATCTTGTCGGAAGACTGCTGAATGCGTGCCTCTGAGGAGAAGGAGATAAAGAAGAGCACCAGGCTGGGAACAAGAATAACTGTTTTTCTTCTGGCTCTTCTGCCAGAGCAAGTCGTGTGACCTTGGACAATTTACAGTCTCTAACCCTCAGTCTTCTCATCCGTAAAAAGAGGGAGTTGGAGTAAGCCATAGCTAAGCCTCCTACCACTTCTAATTCTCTCACACCGGACTTGCTCTGTGCTTGATTTATGAGTTACAAACTCTCCCTTTTCCAACCACCTGGGAAAGAAGAGGGCCAGGAGAGGACAGCCACTTACTTGTCATGACGAGAAATAGGAGAAAGAGAAACAAGACCGCATGTCACTTGCACAATTTGCTGCTTCAGCGAGTTGTGGATTTAGGTGAAAAGCATGGTTATAATTAGAGTGACAGGCTGAATATTCCACCAGCCACTGTGAGCACAGCTGGATCTGTCCAGTGCACGCTGAGGAGCCCGGGCGGCTGCACCAGCCTTGAAAAGGATCCTTCTTAAAAGGATTTTCTTCCTTCCTTGAGAGAAAGAAAACCCATTGATATAAAACTTCGCTTCCCTTCTGGCTTTCCCTGCTAAATGCCACTCCAGTAGAGACCAAGTGTTGATAAATACAGGGGAAAGAAAAAATCAGTAAGCTGAGCCTGGTCACATTGACCCTTGTGATATAGTTTTATTTTTAACCTCGAAACGCTTGAACTATTCCTGTTGAAGTTTTCTCTCCTTTCCCTGCCTCCTCAACAGAACTCTGGTCTGTGCAGCAGATGCACCTTCAGCTGCCTCCTGCGACCTGCTTGCTCACAATCCGGGAGGTAGCTGCAGCAGATGCTGACTCAGCCCATGCCCTTAAGGTAAGCTTCTCAGACCTGAGCAGGTGCACCGTGGGGACATTTGGAGTGGTGAAAGTGGAGACTGAGGCCAAGCTGCTCTTCACCTTTTGCTCTGAACAAGAAGGTTGTTAAGCAAATGAGTTACCTGTGGGCAGGGGTGGGGGGAGGTGTTTGCGCTGAAAATGAGACTCATCATATGTAAATTTCCGTTTTGAACTCTAAAATATTAGAGCAAGAAGAGATTACCTGCTTTCTGACAGTTTTGGTTCTTTCTTCTGCAATCAACCAGAGTGACTGATGAGGGGTTGCAGGGTTGAGGAAGGGGAGTGGTGAGGAAATAGTTGGAGGACTAAACCCGGGATTTCTAATTTTAAAGTCCAAATGCTGTCATATTTTTACCAATCAGTATTTGCTATGTTAACTGCAAGTCATCCTCATGTGGTTTAAATTCCATCCCTCATTACCTACCAGCTAACGTGCCATAGTTTATTTGCTGCAGCTGCTATTTAAACTTTGCCTGCAGAGTTTAAAACCTATTTTTCCCTAACAATACTCCCTAAATATGACTCCTGCCACCCCAGAGCTCTTCAATCCAACATGCATCCACGGAATAGAAGTAAAAGTATTTTACAAGTCACAAAACTTATACAGGCCATAAATTATTGTTGTAACTTGCATATCTGTTGTGGACCACTCTGCCTGGTTCTAGGAATTGTATCTCTACCCCTTGTGACTAAGGGTGAAGGACGACCTTTGGAATGCCAGCCACAGGAGACAAAGCCTGTCTCTGGTAGCAAATGCTGCCTCAGTTTCCTCTCCCTGCCTCCAAAGCTTGGTTGGAAGTCAATGAGGGGTAAGACCCCTCACAGTGGGGGGCAACCTAAGCCAGACTGGATCACTTGGGAGGCCTTCATGGAAGGACTTGGGGGGCTGCAACAGAAAGCAATGGACTCTTGCCCCCTGGCTTTGACATAGTCCCAGTCCCCATGTTCTCTGGGAGAAGCGCTTCCTGACTCTAATCCCCTTAAACCTGAATACCTGATGGGGAGAGGTGCAGCTCCTTGCCTTGCTAGAGTGTGTCCTGGGGGAAAATCTGGCATCACGAAGTCTTGCTGATAAACCTGTGAAATCTGCTCTGCTAAGAGTGCTTTCATTCATGTTAAGGGTTTAAGCAGGAAACCCTAAAACTCTGTTCCTGACAGACTCTGACTCATACTAAAGCCCTCAGATTTCTTTGAAATGTTATCTACTGTTTGATCCTTGCCACCCTTTTTGCCTGTGTATTAGAACCCAATAAAAGGCCCTGGAGGAGGGGGCTCAAGGCCTTTTTCTCCTTGAAGAAACTGGCCGCTACCGGCCTTTTCCCCTGAGAAACTGGCCACTGCTCATGGCCTTTTTCCTCTGGGAAAATGGCCACTTCTCCTCCCCAAGCAGATCGCATCATGTCTCGGTCATATTTACTGTCATCTGGGGGGACTTGCAAGGAAAGTCGCCCCCACATATATCCAGAGGGACAAATGTAAAATGATTAATGATAATTAATGTATTGGAAGCTTTAAAATGTACCTAGATTATTTCTAGCTTTTGGAGTAACTGCATAGAGTTGGCAGGGATAAGGGAGCAGTGTTTATTTTCTTGTTTCCTCTTAGCTTTGCTTTGGTGTTATATGGTTTAGAGTTCAGCTAAGGACATACTGGGAAGTGGCTTATGCAGCAAAAAAGTGCATTCTGTACACTCTGAAGTACACAGGCTAAAGTCACTAATGCCAACTTAAAGGAGATCTACCCAGATACTAATTTCTGGTTCCTGCCTGCCTCTGTAACCTCCGGGTACATCCGGTAACTCTGCTAAGGGTGTCTGAGTTGTAAGTATGCCTGTTCGCTAGGCACAATTAAGTTCACCACGTATTAAATGCCTAATTGCATTTAGTCTTGTCAGGGTTTCCAAAGCACCAAGATCTTCAAGGTGTGTTCTGGGGTTCTCTGCTAGCAAGACTGGGGGTTGTTGGCTTAGGAGTAACCAAGAAGACAGGTTGATTTATAGTGAGCCCTAGGTAATGCATTCTTGGCCAGTAGAAAACAAATGGTGGTTTAAAATACTGATACTAATAATATAAGCAGCAGAGATGAGAATTGACTAGCTAATGAGATAACTAGAAAGATGGAGAACTGCGGGTGGTGAGGTTGAGCAGATTTGGAGGAGGCCAATTACGTGCGTGTTCAGGGCACAGGGAAAGTGTGGAATCATAGGCCCGAGACCCAGGACAGTGGAGCAGAGGGGGGTGCTGTCTTCAGCCAACTGGTTATGTTAACATCTCAAGAAGCAAAGAGGGGTTACTGTGATATTTCACTTTATACATTTTCTTTCCTTAGAATCAAATATCTCCATAGCAGGGGAAACAGGTTCATAATGTATCATTAAAATACAATTGTTAATTTAACAATTAAATTGAAATAACTAATTAATTGACTGGTTAATAGGTTGAGTTAAAGAATATCTCTGACCTTTAACTTTTGATGTTGTCACTTCCACTATAGTTAAAGCTCAGGAATAAATAGTTATTGCCATGAAAAGGCAAAATAGTTAGTCACTGACATCATCTGAGGGGTGCCCAGAGGGTCCTTTGCCTAAAAATATCTCCCTGACATCAACCCTGTTTGTCTCCTAACTTTAAAATGATAGTCAGGAATGTTAAAACTATTATCTGTTAATCCCATTCTCTTTTTGCTTGAGTCAGTGATTTAAATATACCTGCCATATGCCTTCTCATGACTTTCTTGGCCAGCAACACTTAGTCACCACCTCTTCCTCGTTTTTCCAGGCTCTGTCCTCTTTGTCCTTGGTACCATCTAAGTTGCCCACATGCCCTTGGCTGCCACCACACAGGTAGCTCTGTGGGACACTGGCTTCTACAGAATCTCTCAATAAAACACCAAGGTGAAGAGTGCGGGCAAGACTCTTTACTTTTCTGGGCCTCAATTGCTCTTGTAGGAAATGAAGAGGTTAAATTAGACCCTTTTCCTTCAAAGTGAGGTCCTTGAACCATCAGCATTGTCTAGAACTTATTGTGTGGGAAGATGCTCAGGCCTCACCCCAGTTCTACCAGATCAGAATTTTTAAAAACATTGCTCAAGTGATTCCTATGCACATCGAGCCTCTCTGGTTACCTGCCTGATTCAGATTTCTGATTTTTGTCTGTAGAGTTTAGAACAAGTGCCACAACCCCTGATAACAATTCTGGCAGCATTTCAGAGCATCTGTGAATAACTCCAGTCCTGTGAAGTCTTTTCCATTCCATTAAGGCTACATGAACCTAATAAAGTTGAAAACATTTCATTACTTTTAAAAAAATTCCCAAATCAGCATACCTCTGACCTCATTACACTTTCCTCCTGTATTTGTTTCAAATTGCTATCTTTGAAAGAGGTTGCTCTTTCAAAATATTTCCTTCTTCTCCAGGAAGAAAGTTCTATTCAATTTCATTCCATTTAATCCTATTCAGTAAATGTTCATCGAGTGCTGGGAGCTGTGTTAGCTATACTCACTCTCCTGCCCTCAGAAACCGGTTTGCGCTTTTCTTCGAGGTCATTCGCATTTGCTCTCCATGCTCTGTTGATGTTCCAGTCAGAGCCCCTGTCACTGCAGGAAAACACTATCCTGCTCTGAGCATTTCTGCTGCATCTGTGGCTCTGTCAGGGTCTCTCCCCCTTCACACCCTCACGGCAACACTTCTCTCAGGTTGTCCTGACTCCCACAACCAATCGGCAAGACAGGAGTGGAGACTCAGTTGAGACCTTCCTTCCTCCCCACCCTCTCCTTTGAGAGCATCATAATGTAGGCAAGCAATTAAATTACAAACTTCAACCTAGGAAAAAAAAAGCCCTACTGTTGCCTTTGTGGCTTCTAAAAGGTACTCCTGCCCTGGCTGGTGTGGCTCAGTGGATTGAGTGCCAGCCTGCGAATCAAAGGGTCACCAGTTCAATTCCCAGTCAGAGCATGTGCCTGTGTTTCCGTACAGGTCCCCAGTGAGGGGTTGCAGAAGAGACAACCACACATTGATGTTTCTCTCCCTCTCTTTCACTCTCCCTCCCCATCTTTCTAAAAATAAACAAATAAAATCTTCTAAAAAATAAAATAAAGTCAAATAAATAAATAGATAGATAGATAGATGATAGATAGATAGATAGATAGATAGATAGATAGATAGATAGACAGACAGCACTCCTGGCTGATGCAGTACTATTTGAATTCCTAAGAAATAAATGCTTTTTACTGATTACCAGGGGCCAAAAGGAGAAACGGTTTGGGAGAATTCACATTCTTAAAGAAGTATGGTAAGATTTAAAAAGAAAAGATTACTAAGCTGGCAGTGGTATGTAAGATACATTTGAGTGAGGGAGACCTGAACATTGAAAGGCCAGCTGAGAGCTCTGGAAGTGATGCAACGGAAAGAAAGAAAGGCCTGGACAGGGAAGAGGACCATGAGAATGCCCCCCCCCCCCAACAGAGGAGTGACTAATGAATGCGTGAGTCATGTATTAGACGCTTCCCTTACTTTCTTTCATCTGATCCTCACACACTCTTCTGGGTTATTATGAGCCACACTTTATGGATGAACAAATTAGTCTTAGGGAGATTAAATCAGTTCTCAAACATTACTTAGCTAGTATATGAAAGTGTTCATTTCTTTGCTTTATGTTGGGGCCTTCACATAGGGACTCTTTGTGGAAGTAACATGTAAGCTGAAATTTAAGTGGCAAGAAAAGAGCCCATAACACAAATACAGAGCAAGGGGAGAATCTTGGCAGAAAGACCAAGTGGAAAGGCCCTACAGAGGATTAAGCAACAGGCTGGAGCCACATGCTCCAGGGAAGAGAAAAAAAAATGAAAGAGGCAAGCAGGGGACACTGAGCTTTGTGGGCCAACATAAGGACCTCAGAGTTTATTCCTTGTGGTGGGGGTCCACTAGAGATTGTTAAGTGGGAGTAATGACCTAGTATTAAAAGTTGTTCAAATCACTCTCTTCGTTGGTGAGTATAGATTCTGGGGCACAAGATGGGAGGAATGACACTGAATATGAGGCTATTGCGCCAGCCGGGATGAGAGACGATGGTGCTCAGACCAGGCAGTGGTGGCGGAGATGAAAAAAATGGGTAGAAATGCCCATGGCCTTTCCAGATCTTTCTCCAAGGCCTTCCTCCCCAACTGGGCAGGAAGTTCCTTTGCGTTAGGCACGTAGTACCAAGCATTTTCTAGCTCAACGGCTCTCTAATTGAGTTTACAACAGAATCAGCTGGATTCAGTAGGTCTGATTCAGGAGGGCCCAGGGATTTACATTTCTGACTGGTCTCAGGTCATGCTGATGCTGTTAGTCTGACTGAGCACATACCTTAAGTAAGGACCACTGTTTTAGCTGCCTTACCTTTACTTATTAACTTACTGCCTTCTGAATGGCCCACCGAGCACCACAACCTGCATCGAATAAAGTTTCTTCTCCCCTGCTGGGTTCTAAGTACTTCCCTATTTCTTTTTAAAGAAATATTCATCCCTCAAACTCATGTACCAGTTTCAGCTACTTGTATTGCACTCACACTGCACCGAGTACAACCAGCAAAATCTAGTTCCGTGTAGATCTTCGAACTGTTCAATCTAAATTATATTGGCTGTTTCCTTTAGACAGGAGAATTTTAAAACATAGAAAGTTGACAGAATTTTGTCAACTTTTTCACAATGAAGAGTTTTGATAATTTATGTGCTTTGATTTAGTAAGTGTTTCATTTTAAATCTCAGAGTCCAGATTGTAGGGCAGTTTTTTAATCCTCCAAACTTCACTCTCCCATTTATAGTCCCTGAAATGCAAAACCATGGGACTTGGATAATCTTTTTATTTCCTCTATTCAGATGGGACACAGTAGGGCCAGGGTCCAGAAGAGGACCAAAAAAAGTCATCACAGGGATGAAGTTGCTGCCTAATGAAGAGCATCCAGCTACTCCCCAGTTTGGAAAGATTACGCATGCGGATGCCTCTCGGTGTCCTAACTGGAGGAGGAGGCCCTTCCTCCAATAAGCTCCACTCATGGGCTTGCTTCCCCAGATATCACTGGATGGACCACACAATGCCCCTGCGGGTCTCCAAGGGACACAGTGTGATCCAACAAAGAGGAGAGAATTTGAAAAACTCAGGGATTTTTGTCTTTCTGTTTTGTTTGGGGGGCTTTACTTGTTTCTTTTTTCTGTGCCTCAGAATCCTGGTCTGTAAACTAGAAATGGTAATACCCACCTCATCTGGTCATTGTGAGGATGAAATAAGATGTTATATAAAAGCACATGTCAGGCACTAAAGTCTTGTTTCTCTTTCTCATGGCTTTCAAAACGCAGAGAGATCACTCAGTTAGGGAAAGTCAGACAAACTCACAGAGGATAAGGATCCAGTCACTGCACCAAAACAGAGGTTAGTAGAGCAGGGCATCTTATTCCCCAAGATAACCCATAATGTATCCAATGTGAATAACGTGGGCCAATAGCAACTGCTTTCAAATAAGGTGATCAAAGCTGTCCAGCTTTGCCGAGGATTTAGAGGCATCTCAGGACTTGGGACTTACAGTGAGAAAACCAGGAGAGTCCCAGGCCATCCAGGGCCATTGGTCACTCTGCTCACCAAACAGGAACTAGACAGTCAAGAATGTCTGTCCTTTTTCTCAGTGAGAAAAATTTCTCCTAGATATACAACAAAAGGTTCAGATGTGATTCTTTATGCCCTTAGGCTGTATTTACTTTTTTATATATGTGTGTAAAATTTCTCTAGAGTCCTCTCTACTCACTGTGTCTTTTTGCTCAGCACATGTCCTTTCTCAAAGTCACTGATCTGGTGTAACTCCAGAGCCTGGAAGAATATCTTTAAATAGCAGCATTAAAAAAATAGTAGCATCTTTGTTGACTGCATGCATTGTTTTTCTTCTCTCTTAAAGGGGAATTTTCAAAAACTGTATTTTGCTGTGTATAATGTATACCCACATTTTGTGCACACTGTACACAGGATTATTATACCCTTGGTATGTAATTATTATACCCAGGAGTAATGCGCATCCTTATTTTTCCCTCAAAAAAGTTAGGCAAAAAAAGTGTGCATTATACACAATGAAGTACAGTAACTTCAAATAGATGGGGAGCAAAAAGCTTCCACCACAATTGTTTCCTGCTTCAATAACACTGTTTCTAAGGATCATACTTTGTAACGCTGAATGATAAGAAATGAATGCACTTCAAATTCATCACCACTGTCCCACCAGCCAGACACATCTCTGCTACTGGGGCAGGGTTCTCACTACACACATAGAGCACAGTGTCCCAGACCCTGGCCAGCAGAGTCTGTCTGTTGTGGCTGAAGATAAGAATTAGTGTACAGGCGACAACAACCCTGTGCGGAAAAAGGGAATAGGCACGACTACTCTCTCAAGGGGAGAGTGTCTATGGGTGTCTCGGCCACCCTCTCAAGAGGGGAGTGACTCAACCCTTGCCTAGACAGGCTTTTATTGTTTTGGGGGGGTCTTACATTATAGAAAGATTTATTATCTATCACATAGAATATTATTGTCTACATTCTAGGTACAATCAAGGAAATAAAAACAACATGCAAATGCTTGACAGGACATTTTTTAGTAATTTGTTTAGTTTGAGAATGATAAAGAAATCATTTTTTTAATTTTTCAATTATTTTTTGTTTAGTTTTGGGGGTCTAAATTTTGTTTTTTTGGAAGGGCTCTTTTAAGTTTTTAATTTTTGGTTTTTTAGTTTGTAATAGGTAGGGAGTAGGTGGTTAAAAAATAGTCTCAGTTTTAAAAGCGTCTTTTTTTTTTTAATTTGGAAAGACAGGCCCTTTGTTGTTTTTGTAAGTTGTAATGAGTTAAAGTAGTAAGTTAATCGTCTTGTTTTTAGGACTTGGTAGTTTTTTGGTTTAGAGTTTATAAGGAAAATGAGGAGTATGAGGGGCGTTTTGTTTAAATATGTTTTAGATAAAAGTGGTTATGTGTCAAGGTTTTTTTGTGACTTGATTGAAAATTTATTGTTTTTTGGGGGGAGAATAGTTAGGTTTTTTGTAAGGAAATGATTAGTGTTTATAGGTATTGAGTTAAAAATGGTATTTTGTTTTTTAGGGAGAAGGGCTAGGTTTTTTAGAGAGGCAGTATATTTATATTTTATTTTTATAATAAAAGGTTATGGCTTTGGTATAAATAAGAAGGATTTAAAATATTTTTAATATATTATATTTTTATTTTATTTGTAGTGTGTTTTAGATTGACAAATTTATGAATATATTTATAATTTTTAGAAATAGTTTTTTTCTACTGGTAAATGTATTTATTTTTTTTAATTTTTGGTGATTATCATATTTTTGTAATGTGTTTAAAAGTGAGTTGTTTCATTATTTAGTTGGTGTTTTTGAAATTTTTTAGGGAGGTTGAAGAAGAGGGAGGGAAGATGTTAAGCTCGGCATAGTTTGTTTTTAGGACTGAAGTAGTCTCTGGGTCTTTAAAAAGGATTTAGAATGGTTAAAAGACACATTTTTTATTGTTTTTATTTTTGTATTTTTTATTATTTGAGGGAAGTGAGACTTTTTAAAATAATTAATTTAAATTTTTTAGTAGAATCTTTATGATGCAAATAATATTAGAAATCTCATTTTATTTATTAAAATATTTTGAGACTACGATGTTATTTTTGAAAGCAGAAATAAAAATAAAATTTAGTAAATTTGTATTTTTAAATTAAATCTTTTAAAGGAGGGAGTGAGACACTAGTCTTTATTTCACACTATTTGGTGTTGTTTTAACTTTCGTCTAATTTTTTAAAAATAACTAAGCCTAAAGATTTTTTATTAGGGAGACTAGGTTCTTTAAAAAATTTGTTAAAATAGCATAAAACATTGTTCTTATTTTTTAGAGAGTCTATACTTGTTAAAAGATTTCCTTTTTTACTTTCGATTTCTGCCGTTTCAGATTTCGCAGCCCATACTAAACCTTAACTAATTAGCTATTGGGGAGTATAGTGCGGTGGGTCAGAAATGTACTGTTGGTGAAAACCGTCAGGGAGGGCTCCCTGGTATCCAGGGTACCCTAACCCCGCTTATGGGTTTCAGGTTTTTCCCACGTGTCTAAGACTGTGAGTGGGGCTCAAAGTGCTAGGTGACCAGCCTTTATATTGTGCTCCCTGACCCAGCCGAGAGTTAAATTACCTGTGATTAGAATTCCCTGTGAGGCCCCTGTGTGTCTTGGGATTGACCCCAGACACCTCCGCAAGGCCTCTACTCACATAGGAAAGCCTGAGATCTCAAGCTGGAGGGAGGAGATGCCTCTTATCTTTGGTGTCAGGCCACTCATAAACAATCTTGTTAACTAACTCTGAGTTCTCAAAGCAATCTTCAGAGCCTGGTTGAAACCAAAATACTCATTTACTACCTGCTTTTTTATTTACAGGTAGGCGGAGGGAAAAGGCAGACTCAAAAGGGCTGCAAAAAGTAGCTTTTAAAGAAAGAAAGCACAAAGGCGCTTGTAAAAAAAAAAAAAAAAAGCCAATTGAAAGGAAAGTTTATTGTTCTCTCCCCCCAAGCCTAAAACCTGATTGGGGATTGTGTTGCGGGGATGGGCTTGTAAGTGTTTTTTACAGTGTACTTCTCGTTGTGTGGGCTTTTGCTTGCAGTTGGCAGGAAACCTAGTGTTCTTTCCTGTCACAAGTGTCTTTGTTATGGCGAGCGCCCTCGTGGCTCTTAAATGCTGGACCTGTGCCCGTGGGGTGCGGCAATTGCCAGAGACAGAGAGCAAGGCTTCTGCTTACTAAAGAAAGTGCAGTCACAGAGAGAGCGACCTTGGAAAAATACCCTTTTTCCTAAAATACAACACACCCTAAGCCCTCCGAAAAGCACTCAGGGTTGTCAGCCTTTACCTGGACTTTTGCACGTGCGTTCTACCCACGTTGGCGTGTTGACCACAACCTGATATCCTTGGCTCAAGGCCTTTGCATCCCTGTTTGGGTGCCAGATGTCGCAGACCCTGGCCATCAGAGTCCGCCTGTTGTGGCTGAAGACAAGAATCAATGCACAGGCGACAACAATCCTGTGCGGAAAAAGGGAACAGGCATGACTAATCTCTCAAGGGGAGAGTGCCCATGGTGCCTCGGCCACTCCCTCAAGAGGGGAGCGCCCGGACCCTTGCTGAGACAGGCTTTTATTGTTTTGGGGGGGGGTCTTACATTATAGAAAAATTTATTATCTATCATATAGAATATTATTGTCTACATTCTAAGTACAATCAAAGAAATAAAAATAACATACAAAAGCAAATGGCGATAAACTCATTAGCTCTGCCCTTGGGAGAACTCATACAGGCTTTGGATATTGCCTTGAAAATAGACAATACACATTTATTATTTTAGACCAGGGTGATAGAGTTTTAACAAGAACAAGCCATAACAATTTGTATACATTTTCTAGTCCTGATTCCCACGAAAAAAACTCAGTTTGAAAGTCTGGCTCCTGCCCACCACTTCACTTCTATAAATTTTCCATACAAAACTGAGTCACCTTTGCCAGGCCAAGACAAACCAGTCCCCTACAGCACAGAACTAGCCAGACCTGCTTTTCCCTTCCCAGAAACTGGACTCAACTTTGTGGCAGAACCAGGCAGACAAATACAAAGGTGAACATTTCTGGTGCTGGTAGCCTTTTCACATAGTCTTATTCCATTTGTGTCTGCCTCTTCTTTGTTGCCTGAAACCCAGCAGGGGACTCTGACTCATACAGGTTCCATTTTTATTCATTGTATCTTTTATGAATAGAAAGCAGATGGTCACATTCTCTCCGCCAGGGCACAGGACCTGGGGACACTGGAGTGTGTGCTTAATGGTTTTCCCTTCTCCTCCCAGCAAACACTGCATTTTGAATGGCCAAGGATCCCACGGCGCAGCTGAAATGCCACATTTGCTCTGGCAAGGATTCCACATTGTCATCATTGTTCTTAACCTCACAGCAGCATTGGGGGCTGTGGCTCACCCTCTCTTTTTACATCTGGGTCACACAGTGTTGACTCTTTTAACTTTTTGGTCTCTTTTTCCCTGGCTCTACTTCTTCCTATTGCCCCAAAGTGGTTACATTCAGTTGTGTACTTCAAAGCTCAGATTTCTGTTTTGTGTTACTTTCCCAGCTATGGCTTCCTCTCTCAGTTGTAAGTGGATAATTCTCAAATCTGCATCTCCACAACATAACACTTCTATTAAATGTGCGGGATCTATCTTTCCTCCCCAAACAACTTTATCTTCAGAATTCTATTTTTCTCAGAACTATACCCTCTATTCTCTCTTCTTGGTTCAAAATCTTGTCATCAACTTTGATTCCTTTCTTTTCCCATGTCCAGTCAGAAACAAGAGTGTTAGTTGATTTTCCTTTTTGATGTCTCCTATCTACCTTATCTTACCTATTTCTACTGTCATCAGTCTTCCCCATCCAAGCTTCCCTCACATGCTCTGCATAGCAGTTTCTGCCTCTAGGTCCTCCCACTCCATCCCTCCACATAACAGTTATACTGTTACATGGCTCCTTATTAAGTACCAAATAATTCCAGCTGCTTTAGCCTAAAATTTACAGTTTCCACAAGTCCCTAAGTCCACAATGAACATTTACCCCAGGAGTGGTCTGGATGTTAAATTGTATTTTAAAAGGTCCAGTAGCTAGACTCTTGAATCCTAAAGACATCCACTGCCCAATCTTATTCTGCACCATCTCCCTCTCTGGCTTTAACACCTCGATTTATCTTCTATTGGGCCCTGGCCCCGTTTAATGTTCTGGCTTGCAACTTCTCATCTGCCTCCTGATTCAGGCTGACTGTTAGGGGTACAGAGCACTCTGGCATGATCTTCCTTCACCCTCGGCAGCCCCAGTGCATAAGAATCAGATGGAGAATGTGTTAAGAATTTAAATTCCACCTGGATGGTGGGGGTCAGCAGATTGAGCACCCACCTGTGAACCAAAGCATCGCGGGTTCGATTCCCAGTCAGGGCACATGCCTGCGTTGCAAGCCAGGTCAGGCTCCCAGTAGGGGGCGTGCAAGATGCAACCACACATTGATGTTTCTCTCCCTCTCTCTCCCTTACCCTCTAAAACGAATAAATAAAATCTTAAAAAAAAAAGAAAAAGAATTTAAATTCCAAGACACCTCTCAGTCAAGTTAGGGCTGCAGCCAACGTCTGCAGCAGTGTCGTTTCTATGAAGGTGGAAATGTTGTATTCCGTGTTGTCTAACAGAGTGGCTACTAACCATATGTGGCTATTGAGCACTTGAAATGTAGCTAGCATACCTGAGAAACCAAATTATTGATTTTATTTTGATTAATTTAAATTTAAATAGCCACATGTGGCTAGTGGGCACCACACTGAACAGTGCAGATCTATAGTTCCACAAGCATCACAGCTGATTCCGATGAACAGGTCTGTTTAAGAACCACTTTAACAAGCGGTCCAGGTGACCCTTACGCTCACTTACTGGCACACAGTACGTAATCAACAAATGCTTGTTAAAGGAATGGATGAACAAATGAATACAGAAGTGAACCAGAACATAATTTTCATTGAGATTCAAGTCTGTACTTTCCAAATAAGAAAAGTTGAGGAAGGCTTTCCAAGATTAAAGGGGCTAAAAACACCAACCATAAAATTAAATTCCAAAAAAAGAAAGAAAGAAAGAAAAAAGTGATTTTCCTCTTTGAAAAGCAAACAAAATGCACTTACCAACCAAATGTAATAAATTGACATGAAAGGGATCCTGCCTCAAAAAATTTAAAAACACATATGACATTTGGGGACTACTTGGACACATTTAAATATAAATAACATGTTACATGATATTAGAAAATTATTTTAAGTTTTCTTAGGTAAGATGTCATTGTAATTATCAAATAAAATGTCTTTATTCTTACAAAATACATATGGAGATACTTAGGGATGATATCATGATGTCAGCAACTTATTTTTCAAGAGTTTCAACCAAAAATTGTGGGAATCTGTGTGTGTGGAGAGAGAGGGAGAGAGAAAGCAAAAGTGGCAAATGTTAACAATTGTTGAATCTAGGTGGAGTATATTTGAGTGTTTATTGTGGGTATTCTTCCTCCTTTTATGTATATTTGAAAAAAAGTTAAGTTGAAGTAAAATTCACTCACAATGAAGTGGCAAACTCTAAAGTAAATTTAAAAAAATTTTAAACACTGCATCTTCTGACGTTTGGGTGCCAAATTCTTCCCAGACTAGCACAGTGCTGAAATTATGCTACAAATTCTCCAGGCCAGGTGTTGCAAACTGGCAGCTACAGGTCCTATGGAGGCTGTACGCGTATTTTTCCTGGGCCCAAATAGAGGTTTTTTGAAAAAAATTATTTGCCAACATTAAAAATTCCAAGAATTTTTATCTTGATATATTATGTAATAAAATATTTTGCAATATAATGAAATATAAATACATATAATAGCAAACACGTATAGATGACTTCCTACAAGACGAGTACTCTTCTAAGAGTTTCAGGTACTACAATGAACTCATTTGCTCCTCACAATAGCTGGGTACTATTATTATTCTTCCTCTACAGACAGCAAACTGATAACAAAGCGGTTAAGAAACTTTCCCAAAGTCTCTCAGCTACTGATTTGTAGTGCCAGGGTGGAATCCTGTGCTGTCTGCCTCCTAACACTACACTGTACCACCACTCACCAAAATCGGCACCCCCGGTTTCTCTGGAAAGATCAGAAGATCTGGCGACACATTCCACATGATATCAACTGACCAGAGCCAAGAAGCTGCATTCCCCTGAAGGCAGGGCATCTTCTCTTACGCTTCCCCGAGTCCCCACTCAGCCTGCTTCTGGGGCTTTGGGATTTGGCCCCTACTCTCGCCATGGCACAGCTGAATACCCTAGAGTGAATGGCATGTGATAGATTATATCACAGACACTCGTACACTGCACAAACTAAGCTGGATATCAGGTTGCTTTTTAAACAGACATGAAGCCCCAGTGGGAGCAAGGGCTAGTAACAAGGGTAACTTGGACCACATGTGTGCATCTGTGGTGGTTGAGGAGGGGGTGGAGAAATGTCAGGATAATTGTTGGTAGATGATGGAGAAAAGTTATAAGAAGCCTGAGATACACATTACATAGTTGGTAAGATGTCCCTCCAGAGGGCGGTGTGGGTGAGTGAAAGAGCATAGACCAGGATGGCCTGGGTGGGGACCTGACTGCATCACTTGGCTGCTATATATCCTTGAACAAGTGATTTATCTTCTCTGGCTTCCATTTTCTTGACTATAAAATGGGTTGATGAGACCTCTAGGGCGGTGGAAGGAATTAGAGAGAGTTTGTGAAGTCCGTTTGGGCCCTGTTAACATAGATAACCAAAATACTTTTCTCACTATGAATCATTCATATTCATATTTTTTTATTTCCCCTTAGCATTATAAAGCAAGAAGAAATTAGGAAGCTATGGTAAGTACTAAGTTCTTCCCGGATCTTCACATATCAGGGGTTCAGGTCTGCTTCATTTAGCCTGCAGCCTAAGCAGCTGGCACACTTGTCCTTATGGTTTGATGATATTTATTGGCTTTTTGCCAAACCAGAGTTGCTAGAGCAAAACCCAGAAGAAATCGACAGAGTAGGGAAAAGGCAGAGAGAGACCTGAGAAAGATTTGTGAGCAAAGATCGTCAGTAAAACTTTAAAAGCAAAAAATGCAGCAATAATCTAAATAGCTAACAATTTCTTCATTCAGCAGATTATTGATGACCTGCAATGGTCCTGGCTCAGTGGCAGGTGTAAGGGATGCAGGTGTGAACAAAACTAGACATGGCCCCTGCCCTCCTGGGAGGTCTCCTGGGATGTCTCCCGGTGGTAGTTGGTTAAATGAATGATAGCACTCTCATTCTGGAATGCTACACTGCCGTTATGAAGAAAGTTTGTAGAGAATAATTAATAAAACAGCCTAGTCTTGTGTTATAATAGCAAATTAAAAAGCAGGGCACAAAATTGTATTCATAGTATTAAGTGTGTAATATAAATCACTCATAATCCACAACTGAAAAATAAGAATTGTCAACACTGAACTTCATTACTTTCAACATCATTTTTTCCCTATTCTAAACACCTCTACTACATTCATAAGATGAACTATCAGAAAATACAGAAAAGAGGGTTATAGGTATTATTTCTGGATTGTGGGATTATGAGTGATTTTGTTTTTGTCTCTATGATTTTTTATATCTTCCAAGGTTCCTGTAAGAAACATGTACCAACAGGAAATAAGCCCATTAACACACAGTCACAGACACACCTACAGCTTCTCTCCCAGCGCTCATTCGTTTTCTCTTCCCCTTTGCCTTTGGTGTCTCCAGGGCAGGGCACGCAGGCCTCCACCCGGGCAGCACAGGCATTGTGAGAGATGCTTCGACCGTCACTGCCATGTTCCGACGGAGCCCAGTGTCTCCTGCACCATGATAAACTGCCACCTGTCCTGTGGCGCCGCCTTCCACATGTGCAAAGAGGCGGAGCACGAGCTCCTGTGCCCTTTAGAACAGGTTCCGTGCCTCAACTCCGAATATGGCTGCCCCCTGTCCATGTCCCGCCACAAGCTGGCCAAGCATCTGCAAGTGTGCCCCGCCAGCGTGGTCTGCTGCTCCATGGAGTGGAACCGCTGGCCCAACGTGGACTCAGAAACAACCCTTCACAAGAACATCATGAAGGAGAGCCCCAGTGAGGAGTGTTTGGATACAGCCCTGGCCCTCCAGGACCAGAAGGTCCTTTTCAGATCTTTGAAAATGGTAGAACTTTTCCCAGAAACTAGAGAGCCCAGGGAGGAAGAACCTATTCTGAATGGAGAAGCCAGCTGGGAGGAAATGGGCGGAGCAGTGGGTGGAGCAGATGCTGGTTTAGTGCCACATGGCTCTCTGTCAGCCACTAAAGGAGAGATGGCAGAGCTGAGTCAAGAAGAACGTGAGGTGTTGGCCAAAACCAAAGAAGGGATAGACCTGACCAAGTTTAGCAGGTGGGAAAATATTTTCAGCAAAGAGAACGCAGCCTCTGCTTTAACAAACTCATCAGCAAGCTGTGAAAGCAGAAACAGTGATGGACCAGGGAAGGAACAGATTTCCAACGGCAGTAACATGGTGGGAGAGGACACTGCCAAAGGGCAAGAAGCACAGCAAACCCAGAAACAGCAGGACTGCCATGCGGCTGTGGAAACAACAGGGCTTGCCCCTTGGCAGGACGGTGTTCTGGAAAGACTGAAAACAGCTGTGGATGTGAAGGACTATAATATGTACCTGGTGCACAATGGGAGGATGCTAATACACTTTGGTCAAATGCCTGCTTGTACACCTAAGGAAAAGGACTTCGTTTATGGCAAACTTGAGGCTCAGGAAGTGAAGACTGTTTACACCTTCAAAGTTCCTGTGAGCTACTGTGGGAAGCGGGCTCGCATTGGCGATGCCATGTTGAGCTGTAAGCCAAGTGAACACAAGGCAGTAGACACTTCAGATTTAGGGATCGCTGTGGAGGACCTGCCCAAATCAGATCTCATCAAGACCACCCTCCTGTGTGCTTTGGAAAGAGAACTCAAAGGTCACGTCATCTCTGAATCCAGAAGCATTGATGGGCTGTTCATGGATTTTGCTACTCAGACATACAGTTTTGAGCCAGAACAGTTTTCCTCTGGAACGGTGCTGGCTGACCTCCTAACCACTTCCAAGCCAGAGGGGCTCCATGTGGAACTCCACAGTGAGTGCGTGACCAGGAGACACAACAAGAGCAGCTCTGCCTTCACTTTCACTTGCAACAAATTCTTCAGGAGGGATGAATTCCCGCTGCATTTCAAGAATGTCCACACAGACATTCAGTCATGTCTTGATGGCTGGTTCCAGCATCGGTGCCCCCTCGCCTACTTGGGATGTACATTTATTCAGAACCATTTCCGTCCCCCAGGGCAAAAGGCAAAAGTGATCTACAGTCAAGAGCTCGAGACCTTTGCCATCAAGCCAGAGGTTGCATCAGAACTGAATGAGGGAAGGAAGAACCACCATCTCTCAGGCCATGGAGGAAAAAGCCAGAATTCTCTAACCAGCTTGCCCTTGGAGGTTTTGCAGTACATCGCTGGGTTCTTGGACAGCATCAGCCTGTCCCAGCTCTCCCAGGTGTCTGTACTGATGAGGAGCATCTGTGCCACTTTATTACAGGAGAGAGGGATGGTCCTCCTGCAGTGGAAGAAGAAGAGGTATTCCCATGGAGGCACCTCCTGGAGAGTCCACAAGAAGGCAAGTAAACACTCATTCATTCAACCAATATTTAAGAGCTTTATATGTGCTAAGCACTCGACTAGGCACTGGGACTGTACTAGGTTCCTGGAAATAAGACATAATTCTTGAGCCTAAGAATGCCAGTCTAGTAGGGAAAACAGACCTATAAACATATCGATGGCAATACAAATAAATGGCAGTGCCTGTTTGTCTCTATGTATGGTCCTGGATATCTTCTCTTTGCTCACATGACCCATTCTCCAACCTTCTCCACCACGGTCTGTCCCCCAGGATGCTGATCTCCACAGACTGCCTCAACTGGCTGCCTCGCCTTCTGGTTTCCAGTTAGGCCACCCGATGGCACTGTATCAGCAGGTGATGGGAGAGGGAGAAAAGGGGACTCGGCAGTTCTTTCCTTCTGGCTTCCTCCCAACATGTATTCTCCCTCCATGACTCTTTGCAGTGGCTGAGTCTCTCCACTGAAGGTGGCTGTATCAGGTGGCTCTGTCCACACAAAGACCATTCCAGTCCAATGACCTCCCTCTTCTTTCCTTTCAGGCCTAGGGTGGTAACACTCTAGACTGTTACCAGTCCAGGTCCTGCCCTACGTCTTGTGGCTTTCCTAAACCTTGTCCACAATTTGTACATCATTCCTTCTTAAAATTCTCTTCAAATTACCTGAGTGTGCCATCTGTTTCCTGCTTGGACTCTGATGGACACAGTATGCCAACAAATTCCCTGTCCTCCCATATCAACTAATTTTTTAAAACAGTTTTTGCCTTTGTTAAATGCATTTTGAAATCCTAGTATATGTGCTGCCAAAGCAAGCACCATTTTGAAATTCTAAAATAATTTGGCCCACTGATTTCTTCTAGTTCAAATACCTATTAAATTTTTCAAAAAAAAAAAAAACCCTCTGTTGTAAATTTTTAAAATGTGTTTCTTTTTCCCAGTTTATACTCACTCAACTGTACTATGACTTCTATCACCTTGTACCAAATGGAAGTGGGACTCCTAATTCAGCATATCCAAAGTGCCCTAAGCATCCTTTCTTACAGTAAATATGTTGGTAATATGCATCAAAAATTCATGTGCCCATTGAGGTCAATAATTCCATTACAGTTGAGTTTCTTCCCAATATGTGGGTGTGTGCAAATTGGCACTGGGGAGTTACAGTTGTTTACATCTATTCTTCTTTTTTTGCCTTCTTTTTTAGGCATATTCATGCCTAAAATATCTTGTATATTTACTATTATTTATTTCCTGAGCAGCTTTCTTCAAAGAATCATTGAGATGCTCTCTCATGTGTCCATCCCTATATCCAGATGTTAAATAAATGCTGACTGCCAACCAACCATGTGCTAAGGATAAGCATGAATGGGACTAAGCCCCTGCCATTCAGGAATTGTATAGTCTGGAACTGCCTAATAGCGTCCTCTGTAAAACCTGATGCAAATAATTTGACTTATATACTAGAAATTCCATTATTTTTTGGCTCATATTTGTTCCCAACTGAGTGATTGCTGTCCATTCTTGAATATAATTTGGGATACACCAATTTCTTTGCAGAATTAAAGAGAGAGAATTTAGTTGGAGCATCCTTTAACTCCAAGTAAATTTTCTTTCTGGAGTTAAAGTGGCTCTTTAAAGTAAAAAAAAAAGGAAATTGTTCTAAGATCCCAGGAAACATTTTACTTACATAGGAACAATGACAAGAAACTGAGGGTGAAGTGGTCAGGTTGAAGGGGTATCAGGTTATGCCTACTCTTGTAGCCAGATTTTAAAACTAGTGACTTTGCCACAACATCCTAGGTGGAAAGGTCAGAGGGTGTTTGAGTACCAGACTCCTAGATTTCTACTAAAATTTTTGTGCTAAGATTTATGTATAACAATACGTTTAGTTTCAAGCAACAGAAAACCAACTTAAAATGGCATAAACAATAAAGATAATTTATTGGACCCAAATATCTAAAAAGTCCAGAGGGAATAGCATCAGGTAAGGCATGATCTGGTAGCTCAAGAAAATTCCCCCGATTGATGTTTTTTTCTATTTTTTAATCTCTCTCTCTTCAATAGTGGCTCCATTGTAAGATGTAGTGATGCCTTGGTGATTCCTGGGGCTACCAGTCACTCCTAAAACTGCAGTTTCCCAAGTCAAGTACAGAGGGAAAAAGAGAATCTGCTTCTTGATATCTCAAAAAAAAAAAAAAAAAAGCGCTCTGGAGTAGAGTCATTGAAACTAATTGTCCTGATTTGAACCATGTGTCCATTCTAGAGCTGGTGGGTGTATGTGTGGTGCTAGTGGTGGTGTGGTGGATTCAATAAACAGATTCGTATCAGTCATTCCAACTCAATTGCGTGGCTGGCTAGGAAGGTTATCTATTGGAAGTGGGAACTGGGAATTGGGTGCTGGAGAAGAAATGAACAAAATGTCTGCAGCATCCACTAACCACTAAAAGCTAAGAACAGGAAAAACAGGAAAGCATTTCCTTATACTGTTCAAATAAAGCTAGCCTGAGGGTCCTGCCCCAGTGTTTACTTTTGAACTATCTTTCCCAACAGATCTGGCAATTCAGCAGCCTCTTCTCTAAAATCAACGACTGGGAATTTAATGAAGTCACTTCCATGTCTGAGCACCTGAAGACCTGTCCTTTCAACATTGTGGAGCACAAGACTGAGCCAGTTCTTTTGACTAGCATGTGTGAGCCCCATGAGCAGGCCCGAGAGAGCTTGGTTGCCACCTTTAGAGCCAGACCACAGGGAAGACAAGCCAAGTAAAGAGTCCAATACCACTGTTCTTGAATTCTTCCTCAGAGTTACTAAAAGACACAGTATGCTTTTGGGGACTTCCCTCTATAACTGCATATATGCTTCTCTAGGTGTATTAGAGCGTGCAATGTCCCCCAAAACCCGAGCAGTTGCACAAGGTCTAAGAACTTCCTAAGCCCTGCCTTGTACAGTTGTTATTATACTGCATTGATGACTTCCTTTCCTTTTTTATTTCTAAAATAGATCAGTCTGAAGAGAAAATAGGTAACTTGAGGTTATTGAGAAAGATAAGCCCAGTTTCTTAAGAGATAAGAGAGCAATGAATTCCATAAACAGTATAGACCTGTGCTTTTACGGGGTGGGAATGGCAGGGGTGGGGATGGTGTTCAGTTTACAAGCGCGTTCCCATTTGTGGGGCAGGCCATGCAGAGATGCTGTCTGAGGTATCAGTTCTCCATGGTGAAGGGCACCAGTGGGAAGGTTCTGGAGCTGGGGCTGTCTTGCCTTTCAAGTCCAGGGCTGTTTCTCATTGCCCCACTGCCCCTAAGACCAGACATCCAAACACAGCCTGACAGAATAGAAACCACGGCTAAGCACAAACCAGAGGATGAAAGGCAGAAATAAGGTCACAGACTTTGTTGTATAGAGTCTTGACAACATACAGGGCAACCTTGAAAATTGAGGAGTCCAGAAGAGACACTATATTCATGGAGAACGTAAGGGCAAAAGCCTCAAGCCTACACTTTAATAATGACGTAAGAGTCCAGGTATTTTTCTCCTGCAAATTATATCCCGGGTCTGGATTAGGGAGAGCGAGGCCACAGGCCAGCAGCCGTGTGCACTGCAGGTCCTGTGCGGGACCTCGGGAAGGAAGCCATGGCAACATGGTGGTTGCCTCTAATGGCTCCTACCCATTACTGGTCACGGCTCCAGCCTGTCAAAACTGTGTGACGCTGCTAGTTTGGGGTAACAAACAGCAAATATTTATGATAACAAAAGTAAAAGAAAAATTCGTAACAGAAACTGATTTCCCCTTTCCTTAAAGCAGGGTTTCTGGGAACTGCTGCCATTGGGCACCAAATAATTCCTTGTCATGGGGGACTGTTCTCTGCATGACAGGATATTTCGTAGCATCCCTAGCCCCTAGTCATAGATGCCAGTAGTACCCCTCCAGCTGTAACAACCAAAAATGTCTCCAGACATTGTTAATTATCCTCTGAGTCACTCCTGGTAGAGAACCACTGCCCTGAAAGATGACATGCCCGCAGCAGGAAGTTAGGATCCGCTTTTTTCATACAGCAGAATCTTCTCTCCCACGTAGTTGTCTACAACAGTGAAAATTTCATCAGCTCTTCTTTATTTACAAAAGGGGTTTTAGACACATGGTGATTTTAAGTTGGGAACCAGATGGAGCTGATTTGTTTGGTATGGCTTCATGCCCTTGGGTCAAGTGCAAAAGCTGATCCTTTCAGCTCTCTCCATGTGTAGCTGAAGCCAGGAAAGTTGAGCGAGTTATCTTATGTTTACATGTCTCTCACCTTGATTGGTGCCATTTTTTCAGCAGCCCTAGCCATCCTCAAGCACTTGAGAAAGAAGGGAAACGGAGGCTAGGCATCGTGGAGACGTAGGGAACAAAGAATTTAGCCAACAACAGAAGTGGGTCTAGTTGATCTGGATGCTCGTTATCTCCCACATCTCTGAAGATGGTCCAAAGCCGGTGTAGACGAAGCAGACGACACCTCTGAGAAGAGTCAAGAGGCACACAAGCAAGTCCCAGAGTGGAAATCTGTTCACCTTTTCATTACAATGTACCACTTGGTACTGTTCAATAATGTAACTATTTTTCCTCATTCTTATTGTTTGGTTTATATTTCACATTTGTATATAAGGCATCGTTTTCTAAAAATATAACTAGAGTGTGATCTAAGATTTTATTTGGTGAAGATAAGTAACTGTAAACAACTAAATCCTGAAGTGGGGAAAAAAGGGAGAATTCTCCAGGTAACAGTTCCATGTGTTTTGGATCTAGTCCTTCCTATGTGGAGAAAGAAACCTCCTAAAGTTCATATGGGGATTCTTATTTTACTAGGGGAGAGAGAGAGAGACAGAGAGAAAAAGGTGGGGAGCTATCAGCCAGGGGAGGGGAAAGTTAGGGGCTACAGTTAGAGGGGTGAGCAGTGCAGAGAAAGGAGGACAGCAGAGGGCTGTCCCCCACTATCCAGGTGGGTGGGGCAGGCCGGGGGCAGGAGAGCGGTCAGGACAGTGCCACACTGCTCTGTGGGCTGCACACTCCAGTCGCACTGTGCTTTCTCTGTTGCTGCCTTCAGAGCAATACTGAATTGATCAACAGCATCACACACATTTTATAAGATATCTAATAGTATATGTTGCAGAAAGCAGGGTACTGCAGTGTGTCCACTGATCTATCCAAATAACAAACACATTTTATGGTGAGAGGGCAGTTGGAGCAAAAGGAAACCATTTTACAGAGACTGAATTGGGCAGAAGACGGTTCGGTTAGTGAGATATGGCTGCAGTGAGCAGCATGAGCAGCAAGCAGTATCTGACAGAGGCCAGACAGTCAAATGTGGCTTCAGACTCAGACGCACTGAGGGGAGTGGAAAGGGAATGTGTTCCCAGGATGGAAAGATGTCTATGTGTTTCGCCACCAGGATAATTGGTTCGGAGTAGAAATCGGCCAAATTTGGAGAGTGAGGTCCAAAGAACTGTTGCCATAATAGAATAAGGATCTGGAAAAGATGTTTCTGTCTTAAAATAAAGGGAAAAGTGAAGAGCAAGGTGGGTCTTGGAGGTGTCACCAGAAAACCACTGTCAAATTCTGATCTATGTGTGATGTCAAATAAAACTGGAAGGAAGAATGAGATTGTGCATTTCTATAAAGACTCACCTCTGTATACTGGAAGTCCCAACGTCTCTACAAGCAGATACAAAAGCTGCTTTGCACTCTTAAAGGCTCGCTGGGTAAATCTTGTAAGTTAGGTCTAGAGACAGATTTGTGATTCACCGGCATAGAAGTCATTGTGGAAACAAAGGAGTTTGTGTCTTAAAGAAAAGCCAGGGAGAAAGTCTGAGGAACACAGTGCTCTGGGCATGTGGGTAGCCCACAGCTTTAGGAAGTCCTGGAGCATCTATAGAGCTCAGCCACTCATTGTAGCTCCCACCATCTTCTTCGTCTTTGAAAGCTGGACCCAACTTTAGATACTGGTTACAACATAGACTTTGTCTTACCGACAAAACATTTGCTACACCAGCCAAATCCCTGACTTTGATTTTGACTTGGTTTTGATTTTGCCTAGGATCTTCTATCTTGGGCCTTATGGAGACCAATGGCCTGGGCTAGGATAAACCCACTATGACCTGCCTTCTCATTCTCTTTCATCCCCATACTTTGCCTGGTGATTTGTTTTTTGCCCATCACTGTCTATTCAAATGTCCTCATCTTTTTTCCTATCAGCCTCAACCCTGAAACCACACAGAAGCTTCATGAGCTCCTTCCATGCACAAGCTAACTTGGCCATCAATTTCAGTCACCCAGCTAGCTATAAAAAAGCCTGGGCTTTCTCAAGTAGAGGACACTCTCTCTGGCTAAATCCTCTTACCACTTCATCAGAGCTGTGTTCCTTTAGCTTTCACCTTTTTGTGTGCTTGTTGCCAAATCTCCCTTTTCTTCCTTTCTAATCCCTAATGTGTGCTTCTTCCTCAAGAATTGTCATGTTCTAAAAGAGTGTGGTCATTACTCGCAGGCAGAAGGTGGCTGGCCTCTCGCAACTGCAGAAGCCAACAGAAGTTGACACTGCACGGCCTCCTGTTTCCCCACCTTCCCACCTTACCCCAGGGTGATCTGTTTGGGACTGGGTGTAAGTACAGCCTTAAAAAAAGGCCCAGTCCTATTCATCCAGGGCAGAGGGGAATGGACAGTGGTAGAAGGGATTCTTCTGGATATGCCTAAAAGATGGAAGGGGAATTGGAGCCATGAGAGACAAGTCTGCCCTGGCTAGTGTGGCTCAGTAGATTGAGTGCTAGCCTGAGAACCAAAGGGTCACCAGTTCAATTCCTAGTCAGGGCACATGCCTGGGTTGTGTGCCAGGTTAGGTTCCCAGTAGGGGGTGTGCAAGAGACAACCACACATTGATGTTTCTCTCCCTCTCTCCTTCCCTTCCTTTCTCTCTGAAAATAAATAAATAAAATCTTTTTTTTTTTAAAGAAAGAGCCAAGGCCATTGCAGGCTGCACAAAAAGCACTTATCTACCTCAGCCTGGAGGTGAAACAGTCTCATTTATTTCCAACTTTAAAACTGAGCAGAGAAAAGATTATCTCTGCAGGGAAGGAAGGTAAGCAAAAGCACAACCAGGTAAACCAGGCAATCCAGACATCCCTTCCCAGGTAAGCAAACCAGGAAGCTCAGAGCTCTCGAAAGCAAAAGGCAGAGCTTGGGGTGGTGGAGGGAGCAATGATGGGGAAGGAGGCGGGACAACAACCTAAATGTCTATGAGCTTGCACAGGACAGAGAGGACCCTGAAGGACGGCTCCTTCCTCATGCCGTCTCTGCCCCAAGCCCTACTGCAGAGGGAGGGGGAAGTCTATGTAGAACTTCAGCAAACTCATGACATCCTATTAGATACTTGAAGCAGGATGGGAGGAGGTGGAGGCGGGGCCACTTCGGACATGGGAAGTCACAGTGCAGAATACAGTAAGGGCCATTTACTGGAGAAGATTGACATAATTTGCAGGGAAGAGTCCAAAGCGGCCGTGGCAACGTCCCCGCCACCAGCCCTCATCCACCATCTCAATGTCAGTGATGACATCATCTGGATCAAAGGAAATTTCATCACTTCCCTCTGGAGACAAAATTGACAGGAATTAGGAAGGTCAGACAGGAATCCCTCCATCCCTGTGCCCACCTCAGAAGGGAAATAGGCCTGGTCTTCTTGGTGCCAAGTCTGGACCCTTCCCTGACCCTCAGAGTTCATCCCCCTCTCTTGTTCGAGGGCCTTCAGGCAGCAGACCCCTCAGGCCACTCCCAACCTACCTCCTTGGTAGTCATATAGGGCTACAGCTGAGATCCCAGCTCCATCCGGACAGGCCGATGCTCCTGCATTGTGAGAAATATAAACATGGTCTCACCAACAGGGAGAAGGAAAACAAACAGGTTCTTCTGGGTAATGGGACAATACTTCTTACCACCCACCCCCACTGCAGACCTGACCAAATTCAGGAGCTGATTCTCTCTCGACCACTCACCAGCCAGAGAGGAGGGAAAAGAGGGATTCTCAGGCTCCAGCACATCCTCATAGTCCCCTTCTGGTTCATCGTCTTTCTCATGTCTGTCTATTTCCTCAACATCCTCATAGTCATTCTCAGGCTCGGGCTCAGGCTCAGGCTCTGCTTCATACACCGGTTCTTCTACCACCTGGAGGCCCTCCAGAGTCCTGGGGGGCAGAGCTGGGGGCTCCTCATCATCCTGAGAAGAGACAGTGTGGGGCGGGGTGACTTGAACTCGCTAGGAACTGCCTCTCCAAAACTTTCCAATGAAGGAGTGCTGAGATCCCACCCATCACCACCCTACCACTTCTACATTCAGCCCTTTCTGGAAAACACAGTATTTCATCCATTCTTCACGCCTCAACCTCCTTCCGCATCTACCCACTCAAAACATACCAAGTGATGATAGGAGGGTAATGTAAAAGGTACGAGGAAAGGGAAGTGGGAAACAAGTCAGATTCCTTGGAAGGGCAGAAAATGTTGAAGAAAGGCACACTGTTGGGAATACCACAGTTATGATGACCAGCTCTCCTAGTCTTCCCAGGACTGGGTGGTTCCCAGAATGCACAACTATCAGTATTAAGATCAGAAGAGTCCCAGACAAACCAGGATGTTAGTCATATTCTATGGTCCACCTTCCTAAGACATGAAGAAATGGAGAAGGGACAAAAAAATCTTTGGGCCTCTGCTTACCTCTGGGGGTCTCTGCCTTGGGGGCGGGGAGGACACTGGGTGTTCCCTATTGGTTCTCGAAGGCTCAGGCGCTGATGACGAACAGCTCCCTGCCGGAGGCCAAACCTATGGAGAAAGAAGCATCTCTCCAGTAAGCAATCATGCTTCCATCTTCTCCCTTATACTGACCTGCAACACCCCTTCCCACCTCTGTCAATCCAAATCAAACTTGTCCCTCAAGATGGGTTCCAGTCTGCAGAGATGGCTCCTTCCTCTTAGTTCCTGCAGCAATGATTGGCTGCACTGGCTGGTGAGCTGTCCTTTGTTATGCGGTGTACCCTTTGCGTTTTTTTTCTAACATTCTAGTATACATGAGGCTCAGTTACACAGTTGGACTGACATCTCCCTGAACACAGGGGCAACACTTTTATAAAATTTGCTTAACATAGGGAAAGCCTATGTCTTATTAACACTTTTATAAAATTTGCTTAACATAGGGAAAGCCTATGTCTTATTCTCAACCAATGATTTGGACTCTTTAGGTTCCTGTCTGGGCAAGGAATGCTGGATATGAGTCCTAGAGCAGCAAATGCTCACCTCGGAGGAGATCTTCTTAGGCAATGGGGCTGGCACCACCGGCTCTTCCACAGTGGCTGCTGGTTGCTGAGCCTCATGGCTCGTCTTCACCAGGGCCTTTCTCTCCAGTTGCTGCCTGGCCATCTGCTGTGCCTTCTCTTCTTCTTCCCGCTTCTTCTTCTCCTCAGCCATGCACTCAAATTTTGCCTTCAGCCCACGGGCACCGCTAGAAGCTATAGACACAGGCAAGAAGAGGGGAGGGGTCAAGTGTACCTTAAGTAATCTAGGTAGATAAAAGCATGGAGGGAAAAAGAACGGGGAGGAAAAAGCAGTTGAGGAACACTGAGAAAGGGAATTATTAAGACTCACCAGCCTCTACGGGTGTCGTCTTCTTATAAGCTGTGGTGGGGGCCTCCATTGCATTGAAGCCGACGGCACTCTAAGGAGAGCAGTAGGTGTGTGTGAGGGAGGTGGTGGTCAGAAAGTGGCAGTGACCCAGAAAGCAGCGTTAGAGACTGAGGCCACCACAGGTGGTGTCCTAACCACTTCATCCTCAATAGTTGGACAGTATATTCCAATACCGTTGTTTTGAGGCAGAGAGAAGGAAAAAAGAAGTTGTAAACTGCTGGGCTCAGCCCCTCTTTTTGAAAGTACAGTGTCCCTAGAAACCAGCATCTCCAAATGCAGTTGCACGGAACGCAGCAAGGCCCCGAGGTAACGGAGAGGAACCGGTGTGGGGGAGGACAGTGACATGGATGGGAAGAGACTACAGACTGGGATGAACAGTGCCAAGCAGGCAATGAAATTTTAAACATCACCTTTCCCTGGAGTTTATCTGTCTCTCTGTCTTTCTCTGCCTCTCTTCCCTGTCCTTGGTTAAAGCTCAGGCTTCAGAGCACACACTCATTAGATGCTGAGGGCAGCCAATGAGGAACGCAGGACAGCAGGAGGACAGCTCAGGACACTTAGCTTTTTCCACCTTTTTCCCCAGCTTTGCCTCTACTCTTCTCCATGCACTTGTGTGCAGTTTGGAGAACTATTGTCGACAAATTGGTGTTCTGGTACCTTACCTTATCCACTCGGTCCTTCTGGATCCCATACTGACCACCAAAGCCCTTGGCATAATCTGCAGGACAGAAAGGTCCGAGTCATACAGGAGTGAAAACGCTGGAAAGGGGTGCGAAGAGGGAGCAGCGGGAAGAATGACCAGAAGACAAGAGTGTGGAAAGCAGAGAAATGGATGAGGAAGTGTGAGAATCAGAGGATAGAGAGAGGCACAGGTGGGAAGAGCAGCAAAAGCTTTGGGAGAAAAAACTTGGAAGAGAATGGAGGGGAGAGAGATGGAAATTGAAA